ATATTCCCAAAAACTTAATCGTGTAAATTGTTATTCTTTTTTTTAGGATGATTTTGACTAAATAATGTTTTTCTTCACAAAATTGGGTGAATTTTTTGTTGAATTTCTTAAGTTTTGTTGTTGAATTTGGATTTAGAAATTAAAATTGACCCAAAGGTGGTGTGGAGAAGGAGACGAAAGCGAGGAAAAGAGAAATGGGGTAAAATTGTCTAAAATATCATAAATGTAAAAGTTAAAGTGCCACATCAGCAAGAGCATATGAACTTTTAACGGAAATGCTGTTTTGATTCATTTTGAAGTTCATGAGATATTTAATACGTTGGTTATAGTTCAGACTTCAGATAGGCAAAATGAACTTAACCCTTAAAAAAATGGATAGCTGAAATTAGAAATAGACTTTTCTCAAATGGTGCAAAATAGTTTACATGTTGAAAGTTATATCATCAAAAAGCCCATAATCGTACATATTTTTTCATAGTATTTTGTTTATATAATGGTAACTTTCTTATTCTTATTAGTTTTCAATGATGTTGATTAAATAGACCGCAAACATTTTAATGTTGTTGTCTCGGAGCAACCTTAATTTCCTAATTCTTTTTCTAATATTTGAATTAATCATTTTCTTTTACTTTTTAAATGTTAAATTACATATGCATCCTCTAAGGTTTAGATGTTACGGCACTCAAAAGTGGAAACTAGCCGAACTCGACCTCATTTTTTTTGTAAGCTCGGTGTCACGGACTTGTTCTTTTTACAACGAACTGTGCAGCCTTATTTCATTTTCAGCCCTCGCTATAGCTAAGTTAGTCTCCCCCGAATGTGGTGTGAATGTCGAATGTGGTGCAAATGCCAAGTGATGGAAGAGGAACAAATAATTTAAGATAAGAAAATGTGGTGTGAATGTCAAATGTGGTGCAAATGCCAAGTGATGAAAGAGGAACAAAGAATTTAAGATAAGAGACCTTTGTAGGAAAATACTTGTATTGCTCGAGTGGTTACAATTGTTTGGATACTTACAGATGAAGTCCCTATTCCTATTTATACCAGACCACCTACTCAATGGATAGTGGAGATCTGTTTGATCTAATGGTTAGGAGTTATTCACTAGAAAACTCCAAAGAATTCCTATAAAATCTTATTAACAAAAGAAAAGATTCAAAAACCATAAGAATTAAGAAACCCTAAGGACAATCTTTCCCGCTGACTTGAAGGTTATTGTTGTACATATCTTATTTAACATCTTATAATATTTTCTTATTCAATTTTCGAATTTAATTTTATAATTATCATTTTCAATATTTTTTCGCATAATGTTTGTCGATCATATACCTATCATTTTTCAAAGTATTTTTTTACCAATTTCAAAAGAAAAAATATTACTTTGTGCAAATATCTTTAATGATGTAAAATATAAACCCATTAATGATTCATTAAAATATCAAGCATAATAAATATTATTATAACATTGGAGTATAGAAAATTATGATTACTTGAGCAAATAATTTTTATGATTGTAAATATAAACCCATTAATAATTCAATAAAATATAAAGCATAATAAATATTACTGTATCATTGGAGTATAAAAAATTATGATTACTTGTGAAAATATTTTTAATGATCATAAATGTAAACCCATTAATAATTCAATAAAATATAAAGTATAATAAATATTATTGTAACTCCGTGGTAGTTTAGTGTATTTGAAGCCTACTTACATTGGACACTGCATATACAATTTTAGACTACAATTGCGATTTTATTTTGTACACAACTTTATATTTTTATTTTGTTAAATTCTATAACGATGTGTCTTAATAGGTTTACCATTAGACCTAAATAGATATAAAGAAAATAGAATACTAAATGAATTGAAATGTACACTTGAATACATAAATATGATAATTATTTTACTTTTGACAATTTTATTTTTTACATACTTTTGAAGAATTATTCTTATAATGACGTATTTTAATAAGTTTTCCATTAGGCCTAAATAGAAGTAAATAAAATATAAAATGAATTAAAATACACTTGAATACGACAATATGATAATTATTTTACTTTTGACAATATTATTTTCTTCATACTTTTGAAATATTATTCTTATTTTGAATTAAGTATATTATTATATATGCCTAGTTATTTAACATGACAAATACAATTTAGGCTATAGTTGCGATTTTATTTTGTATACAAATTTGAATATATTTATTTTGCATAAAGTTTATAGTGTATTTTAATGGGATTGCCATTAGAGCAACTCCAATGGGGAGATATCAAAATGGAGCATTAAATATTCATTTGATACTTGATATAATACTTTGATACCTCTTGAAAAAAAATTCACTCCAACCACAAGTATCAAATAGATTATCAAATTTTAAATATATGAATAATTATATTTTTAAATGTCACGTGTCAAATAGTGATAGGTTAATTGGGTGGTTATATTTTTGATACCTTATTTTCCAGGGATTATTTTTGCACCTCCGGGTGGTTAAATATCAAAATTATTCTCCATTTAATGCCTCCATTGGAGGAGGATTTTTTAATTTTAAAGCATCAAAGTGGTAATTTTTTAGTTTAATACCTCATTTAATGCCTCCATTGAAGTTGCTCTTAGGCCTAAATAGAATTAAAGAAAATACAATGCAAAATGAATTGAAATGTACACTTGAATACAAAAAAATATGGTAATTATTTTATTTTTGACAATATTATTTGCTTCATACTTTTGAAATATTCTTATTTTGAAATAAATATATAATTAAATAATGATTAGTAATATATAGGGCTGTGCATGGATCGGTTTTAACCATCAACCAACCCATTTTCGACCCATAATTTGTGATGGTTAATCAACCATCAACCGACCAATTTAAGTTGGGTCGATAATGTCAACCAACCCATGTATAGTTGGGTCGATAATGGTTTCTAATATGCTAAAAAGTTGGTTAGTCGGTTAATATCGGCCAACCAACTTTATTCATTAATTTATTATTTATTAATTTTAATTAAAATATTTAAAATTTTTAATTTCAAATTTCTATTTCATATCACATTTATTAAATTGTTTAATATTGACCAAAATCCTAAAAGCAATAAATCTAACCTAATTATCTAATTTGTACTATTTTAATTTTAAGACATACAGTCTAAATATTTAGACGATTATTATTTGTTGAACTATTTATGTTTAATTGCAATATATATGCCCGTAATGTTTTGAATCTTTTATTTGAATATTATTGAACTAGTCGCATTTAATTTATAAAAGATATAGCGTTGTAACAAGTAATAAAATATTAAAAAAAATTAAAAAATATTTAGATGGATGACCCATCAACCAAACCACCAACCAACCCATTAAATTGGTTTTCAACCATCACCCAACCCATGTAAGTTGGGTCGATAACGGTTTCCAATATTTACCAAAGTTGGTTGGATGGGTTGGGTTGGTTTTATGCCTGGTTTTTAACCAAACCAACCAACGCACAGCCCTAGTAATATATATGTCTCGTTTATTGCACATGTCAAAATTCTTGTGTCTACAAAGGAAGGGTTCAAGAAAGTTTTCTAGAATCATCTAAGAATTTATACAAAGCCTACTTACATTCGGTCAACTTGGGCCTAATCCTATATGAGCTAAGTCTTGGACTCTTTAACCCCTCAACCCAAATGAAACGACAAAGGGTTGGGCCAAGACTTGCGGACCGTAACATTAGGCTTATAATCATTTTATTATTATTATTATTATTATTATTATTATTATTATTATTATTATTATTATTATTATTATTATTATTATTATTATTATTATTATTATTATTATTATTATTATTATTATTATTATTATAATTATAAGCTATTTATATTATAATAAAAAAATGAACTGAAGTTAATTTTAATAATTCTATATGTAGTTATTATATTATGATTATTGTATTAGATATTTGAAGGGGAAAAATAGCTCGCGTCATGAACTCATAAACAACATGAGTAAAAGGGCTCGAGCTCGAGCTCGTCAGAAAGCGTCAGCTAATAAAACTCGAGATGTAGTTCTAACCGATTCATAGCCTCATGGTCCAACTCATTACATTCTACTCGTATTTCACACTAGCATCTACAAGAAAACTGTATGATCTACGTTTTAAGATTTTTACATATATTAAAAATGTTAAATATGGTTGAATCTTATAGGGATGGCCATGGGGCGGGTTTGGGGCGGGTTTTGCATTCCCCGCACCCGCCCCGTTAAGAAATCCGTTCACCCGCACCCGCCCCGCCCCGCAACGGGTATAAATTTTACCAACCCGCACCCGCCCCGTAGAAAACCCGCGGGTACCCGCCCCGCCAAAAAACCCGTAAAATTGAAGAAAAAAATTAAAAAAAGAAAAAAGAAAAAAGAAAAAAATTGATAACCCTAATAAAAACAATAATTCTAAATCCAGATTAATTAATATATATATATATATATATATATATATATATATATATATATATATATATATATATATATATATATATATATATATGTGCGGGGCGGGTCTACGGGGCGGGTATATACAAACCCGCACCCGCCCCGAACCCGTTTTCGGGGGAAAAATTAGAACCCGTACCCGCCCCATTTATTTGCGGGGCGGGCATTACCCGGAAATTTCGGGGCGGGTCGGGGCGGGTACCCGCGGGTCGGGTAAAAATTGCCATCCCTAGAATCTTAGGATAAACACATAAAAAGGAGCAAAGTAATATTTATCATTTAATGAGGAGATAATAGGTAATTAATGTTTAATGCAAAACATGAAAAATTGCATTTAATGTATTATTTAAATTATAATTGATCGATAATTTGAAAAAAATAAAGAAATGCTCTAAGGCGGCATATAATTTAAATCTAGAGGATATATAATAATTAAAATATTAACCCAAAAAAAAAGAGAATATAATGCAATTCTTGTTTCTTTTGAGGGAAAAAATGAAAAAGCAAAAAAAAAAAAAAAAAAGAAAAAGAAAAGGGAAAAGAGGGAATTCCGTTTACAGCTCACTTCACAGTTGTACGTTACGTCCCACTGCCGTTCGGAATCTTTTCTCTCTCTCTTCACTTTCTCTCTCTAAAACAATTTCCTCATAATCTCCACCACCACACCACCACCGCACTACCATTCTTTGTCAATTGTTATCCCTACCAAACCTTCCCCAATGAATTAGTAATCCCTATTCCCACCCTCAATCGCAATGCACGACTCCACCCATCATCTCAAACCCCAGCAGCAGCAGCAGCAGCGCCCGCCGCTGCATCGCCGCCGCCACTGGTGCTGCTCCTTCACCACTCCACCTCTCAGCCCCGATAACCCCGTCCTCTCCCGCTCCCGCTCTTCTTCCTCCTGTAATAAAAAGACCGAACTCCAACATCACCACCAGAAGCTCCCCCTCGCCCGCCGCATACTCTCCCCTGGCCGGGTTTCCCCAATTTCCGACAACCCCGTAATCACTCACAAAACCCCCAGAAAAGTTCAAGCATCCCCCAATTCGCCTCCGCCTCCGGCTGATTCGGAAATTAGTACCAGAGACGAGGGTAATCTGGGTAATTTTGATGTTAGGTTAAATCTCAAGGGGAAGAATGGAGGATCCTTGATTCTCGAGCTGGGTTCGGAGGTTTTGACTGCCAATAGCCCTGTTTTTGCCGATTTGATTGCTGATTATCGCAAGAATGTGAGTGGCTTTTGTAGGATTGAAGTGCCTAATGTGGATAATCTGAACGTGTTCCGAGACACGATTGAGCTTATGTTTGATGATGATATTCCGAAGAAGCTCCTCAAGATTGGGGTTTTCCGGGCTATCGATATACTTGAGGTATATTTCTTCTTCTTTGTTTCCTTTGGAATGCAATATAATTTAGCAGTTCTGGTCTCTTTGTTGGATTTATTACACAATTCCGAAACATTTTATGTTCCCCTTCTGTTGTTGCAGTGTATCATATTTAGGCGTAGATACCGATTCCCTTCCGTGTTCAGATATCGAAAAATATTTTTTCATGCAATAAAGAAGATATGCCGATAATATTGATTCATTCTATGCTTTTGGCCCCCATTTATTGGTGGATTTGATTGCGTTGTTGTTTTCGTTGTTGTTTTCTGAGGTGAAAGACTTGGATTTGGTCTTCAGTTATTTTCAGTTGAAACTAATTCTAACCCAGAATCGATTTTTTTTTCTTCGTTAGTTTTAATATGGAAGTAAAGGGTGTTAGGTTTGCACGTAATCTGTTATTGACGAATGGGGTTAGTAATTAGATTTAAAACCCTCCTTCCAAATCTTCCAATCCATATGCACTCGAAGAGATGTGTAACTGAATTTGAATTACTTATCTTATTTTCCACACAACCTCAAGTTTAACTAAATAAGTGGTTTAACCACTTGTTGGAGTGAATCATTGACCAAACTGAGAGAAATGCAGCTTTGAATATCTTAGGTGTTTCCGAATCATAAAATTTGTGCGGCTGGTAAAATAAATAATTTACCATGGAAATTACTATCAGGTGATGGCTGAACTTTGACGTATGAATTTAGTTCCTTCTCATGTTGAGACAGTGAGTTTGCATGTGTTCTAGATTTCGCACGAAGCTTACGATCGTGAAACTCTTGATTTGGGGTGGGGTGAGCCGGGGATTACATTTTTTTTTCTTCTTTTTTTTTTAGCCTTTTAAACTTCTTAAACAAAATAGAGAAGGATAGGAACAAACTCATCAAGTATTAATTTTCCTCATTCATTAAACCAAATAGCTGCTGTTGTTTTATCCTCTGATCAATAGTTTTGATTTTCTCACGTTCTACATTGTCAAGTTTCGAAACCCAAATAAACAAAGATAAGGTTTTTTTTTTTTTTTTTCCTAGGCCAACTCTCTCGTATCATATTAAAAAGTTTATAGGCTTTTAACATCAATTTTTATTCATTCTGTCAATTATTTATTTTTTTCGATTCTCTTGAAATCTACTATAACTCCTTGACTTCAATTTTCAGGTATCATCGAGCATCAAGTTCAGCAGGGGTATTTCTTCATGTATAAAGTACCTCGAGGCAGTACCATGGACCGAAGAAGAGGAGGAAAAGCTAAGGGAACTATTTCCAAAACTCAAAAACATCGATAATGCTAAAACAACAGACATCTCAGACAGACTCATTTCCCTCAATTCTACCGATTCCCATCAAACACTAACGAAACAGCTCATTTATTCCATCACCGCTTCAACCAATACCAATTCAAGAAACGACCTAAAGTCATTGGTCAAGGCTCTAATATGCAAAAGCTCCGTCTACGAAAAAGACTCCCCCGATCTAAACAAAGGCGACATATACTCAGTTTGCGAGTCGTGCCTAACCTCACTCACCACTCTTCTTCTAGAAGCTTCCGGTGCATCAGACAACAACGCAGGCAATAACAAAAACCCACCTCTGTTGGAGCGGATCTCGAGACAGGTGGACAACATTAATTGGCTGCTCGAAATCCTGCTCGACCACCACATGGCGGAGGAGTTTGTGGACATGTGGGCAAATCAAGAAGTGCTGCTCAAAATGCACGGGAACGCGTCCCCCATGGTTAGGTACGAGATTAGTAGAGTTTCGGCGATGCTGTTTATTGCAATGGGCACTCGAAAATTCCATTGTCCTGCGGAAACGAGATTAGGGCTTCTTAAAGTGTGGTTCCGGCCAATGCTGTCGGATTTCGGGTGGCTGCAGAGGTGTAAGAAGGGGCTCGATATGAAGGCGTTGGAAGATGCTATGGGCCAATCATTGCTTACGCTCCCGTTAAAAGAGCAGTATCCTTTGTTTATGGATTGGTTTCATTGCTTCTCCAAGAATGGTAGTGACTGCCCTAATCTTGGTAAAGCTTTTCAAATTTGGTGGAGGAGATCGTTTCAAAGGGGGTCCGAGACTTTTGCTATCGAATCTAGGTAAAAAACTGATGATGGTATCGAAACGAAATGTTTGTTCGTGTAGGGGGGGAGATCGATCAGGTATTGCTTCGTGGGGGTGTTTAATAATAATGTAGATTAATTAACTATGTAAAATTTCCCAACACTTTTTGTGCAAGTTGTAATGTAATCAGAAGGTTAAGCTTTTTATGTATTCATTTTTTACAGTTGTGTTTTTGAGCGCATTTGCGTTAGGCACCACCATCTAAGAGTTGCACTTGCGTTTGTGTGTAATGTTTGATAGATTTTTTGGGATTTAGTGTTTTTTTTTTTGAGATACTAGCTAGATAGGTCGAGGCTACTCGAAATAACGGAAGATTCAAAATTAACACCATGAAATGACTAATATACCCCCTTCACTGACGCTGCCGCCGTCACCCGATCCTTCACGGTAAAACGATGAACACACCCGATCCTTCGCGGTAAAACGATGAACACAAACACAATCCAACACCGAAGACCAAGCCAAAGAAGCGCCTTTAAAAGGACGAAAAATCAAATCGATTTTGTGAAAATCGAACTTTATCATTGTTATTTTTTGTTAAAATATTATTTACAATTCTCCACGAGCACGTTGTTATGGGTATGCTTAGTAGTCAATGATTTAATGTTAGATTTGATATTTTTAGAACATTGTCGATCTACTATGGAACTCGGCCTGCAAATGTCGATTTTTGTACACTTGACACGACATCTGAGCGTCGAATTTTGCGCATCCTGATCGATGCTAAGATGTCGAAATAAGCTTGTTTCTCACCGAAGACAGTCTAGGAAGCCATTCCCACTCCACCGGCAACCACTACACAAACAAAGAAAAAAATGTTTTTTTTTCCTTCCAAGAAACCATGAAAACACAATTTAAATTCATCTCAATTCCTCAGAAAATAAAATCAACATATAAAGATAGAATATTACGTAGCTTGAATATGTAAAGATTTTCCTCCAATTTGAACTTGGAATGCTATAGACGATTTTTGTGTGTGATTTTGTGGAAAAATGGGCAAAAAGAAGAAAGTTGGGGAGGAAACAAAAAATTTAGAGAGAGAAAGTATTTTTATTGTGTGTAGGATTTAATAAATTTCAACCGAAATTTAAAATTTCAGTAAATTAATACCTAATAAATTAATAACCTTACTCAAATAATAACTTTTCTCAGTTCTGACTCGAGAATAACGTGCTAAATATATAATTTGCTAAATTTATAAGATAATACATATTTAAATATTCTTATTAACCCATCTTATATATAAATTAATAATGTACAGAAATAACTTCTCAAATGCATGGTCGATTACATTTGTGATATAGAGACTTACAATACATGATTCGATTTTCTTTTTGTTCCTTGTTGGAGTTGACAATATCATATTAAATATCATTTTTTGTTTTAAATGGTAAGAACTTTGATTGTACTTTTGCTATAGCTCAATAAACAAAATGTTCAATAAAGGTGTTGCTCTAAGAGCTTTCGTTTGTAGGACGGGCTGTGTAGTATCATTTTTAATTTCATCATCTTTTTCAGTTTTCATGATGGTCTCAATTACTTATTGGCTGCGGGTATATGCAAGACTAATTCCACTTGTGCAAGATCAAATTAAAATTTTCAATGTATAAATACTATAATACCCTTATTAAAAAATAGAAAATTCCAAATGTGGAATATCAAAAACTAAAAAAAAAAAAAAAAAAAAAAAAAAACCCTACCACAAAACCACAAAACTAATCTTCTCCATCTTCCAAAACCCATAGAAGAGTTCTCCTTTCTCACGTTTTATTTGTTTTCTTCTTTTTGTTTTTTTTTCTTTTCATTATTTGTTATTTGGTCTTGCATGAGCAAACAAAAGCCAATTTAATTTAAGGGTATATTTGTGATTTCATCTTAATAAAATGGATTTTTTTAGAATCGTTTATAATTTAGTCTTGTACAAATGGAATTAGTATTGCATATAGTTGCATCCTTTACTTATTTGCCAACTTAACATCTCTGAAGTTATGCTGTTTTTTTCAAAGTAGTTTAAGAGATATCCAATAGCATTATGTTACGATAATTCAACTACTTGAGTAGATTTTGCAGTTCTTGGGTAATTTCACCATCTAACGGTTTGTGCATAATTTCTTTTTAATATTTATTGAAAATAATAAAAAAATAAAAATAATAATAATAACAATTTCATAGATCAGTAAGTTATTAATTAATGTATAAATTAATAACTATTAATTTATAAATTTTAATATCTCACTAAATTAATAGGATTATAGTGGTCCCAACTATATCAAATTATAAAGGTGTGACTGTAGATAAGTATTTTTAAATTTGAATTATAAAACATATAGTCGTGGATAAATATTTAGCTGAATCAATGTCGGCTACACAATTCTTTTACTAACTAGTATTTTTCGGGTGTGCAATGTACAGGTTATCATTTTAAAAGTAGAAAATAATAATTAATTTAATACATGACAATAACAATTATAATAAATGATATATTAAAGTATTAGAATATAAAATTTATTACATATATTTAAATTACAGTAACAATATCGACCAATAGTCATACAAATTTAATAATACAAACCCATTAGTCAAAATATCATATAAAGTTAATTGTTTTAATATGAAATTAATTAATAAATAAATGAAATAATTAATAAAAGCAAAAATTAACATATATATATATATATATATATATATATATATATATATATATATATATATATATATATATATATATATATATATATATAAGACAACCTTCTTTTATTTTTTGGTTGCCTGTTAGGCGTTAGCTGTTTGGTGTCATTTCAGTTTGTTTTTCTCTCTGTGTACATGTTTTTGTGTTAGTGTATATATTGTGTGTGTGTGTGTGTGTGTGTGTGTGTGTGTATTGATGGTTGATAACAGCTGTGTTGATTACTTGAGCAGATCCAAACAAAAAAGGGTGTTTGTAAAATAATTATAACAAATATTGATGAGAGAGATGTTTGTACCTGCATTTTTAATTCATGAAGTTAATTAAACATTGGGTAAATTACAAACACCCCCTGAGGTATGATCAAATTACAAAAAAACCCCTCTTGTTTGGATAATTACAACCACCCCCTCAACTCCTCAAATTTAGTGGAATCTTCGAGATTATATGGAATATTATCACTTTTGTACCCGTTTTATCCCATTCAAACTCTACATTATGAAGTAAGATGATCATAATATGTGATTTTTAACTTGTATATATCAGTTTGTGGTGCATCAGAAACTGTATTTTTACACAAAACGAGTACAAACTAGAGCACATTTCGCAGAATCTAGATAACTATGTTGGATTTGGCACCATAAGGGTGGAGGTGTAAGAAAAAATCATAGTTGAGTGGGGTAGATGTAATTATCCAAACAAGAGGGTTTTTTTTGTAATTTGACCATACCTCAGGGGGTGTTTGTAATTTACCCTTAAATATTTTTATAAATAGACCAAATTTTAAGTATAATATTATGGATTGCATAAATTAATTTATGTAATCCACCGAATCCTCAATGTTTCTAAAATGGGTCCAAAATGGTTCTAGACGTGGCCCCTGATGTAAGCTTAAATTACGAAAAAATTATTCTTGTCTGGGAAATTACAGTCACACTCCTCAACTATGTATTTTCTTACGGAAAAACCCTTCATTTAGTAGGTAAATTTGACATCATAAGGATAAACGTGTAAGACAATACATAATTGATGGGGTGATTGGAAATATCCAAGCATGAGAGAGGTTTTCGTAATTTAGCTTTACCTTAGGGTATTGGGCGTAATTTGCCCTAAAACTTAAAAGATCATATTTGGACTCAACATTACTCTGTTGATATGTGTGGATAAATCTCACTATTTTGTTTTGTTTTTGAAAACTATTCTAATTGCTATACATTGTACTAGATAAATAAACAATAAAAATAAATAAAAAAGAAAAATTAAAATTTTCAAAGAAATCAAAATAAAAATTGCAAAAAAATGATAATTTCGTATCGGAAAATTATATATAAATGCGATAATTTTTTATATCTTAAATATGATAAGATTTTTGAAATTTCTAAGGCTTTCTTAATTTGGAACAGATTTTAATTCAAACATTTAAAACTAGTTTCTACTTCTAAAATAATTAAAAAAAAAATCCCAAAAGGTTGATTTCGATATGTTCCATCTAATTTCCACCCGAAGGTATCATGATTAATGTTTTCATAGCCTAACCAAATCGATCGGTCCGAACCAATCCAACCGGAAAACAAATGCTAGTCCTTGCTTGTTACGTATATATAAAAAAGAACATAAAAAATAAATAAATCATATGTTGGATTTTTTTTGTTCCTAAAAATAAACTTTATATTTGATTTTGGATAGTTATGTAGATATTAAACTTTTCTTGCATACATATATTTCTTTTCTTGGTGTTCTTATTATTATTATTATTTTTTTCATTTTCATTTATTTTCTTTACAAAATATTGGCCTAAAAAATAGCTATAGTGTGTATGCATAACCATTCAAAATACTGTAATTCCCAACTCAACAAAGCTAGAGCTCCAAACATAGAATATTACATGTTAGCAAAACTTGCACAAACTCGTCGACTAATCAAGAAAATGTCAACCGTAAAACAACTCTTTACCCGTTGTTTGTAGATCAACCGCAACGACAACAGGCAGCCGAATTACTACATATATTATACCCGGAAAAATAATCTTGTCTTTATCCATCAACACTCGTTTATTTCGTTTGATATATGGATCCAAATGGGATGAAACCCCTTCCGTTGCCTTCGCAAACAAGAGACGCTTCATTCGCGACACTTGGAGGAGACAATATGATGCACAACAAACATACTACTCATCGAAATGATTGTCAACTGCTACTACTGAACTCTGTGCAGAGCTCCTTCGACCGAACAACAGTTGAGAATCAAACGAATATTCCTCAGCACAACCAGCGGGGCCCACGTCGGAAGCAGCCAGCCTTGCCACCATCTAAGCTCTCTCCCATGGCTGCACGGGCCCACATGAATATCCTAAAAAAAATCGGAAAACAGCCTCTAGTGGAGAAACAAGCCGAAGGAAGTGTTTTCGTACCCGAAATATCTAATGTCCCTTCAGATTACAAACCGGGAAAAGGTGCTGAACGTCTGATGCAATACATGTTACGGCAGAGGAACAGGCCCGAGGTACGTAATTCATTTCAACCCTCATTTCTGTAACATTTCAACAGGCCCTAGACGGGTTTT